ATCCAACACATGGTCTTTTCCAATCACAGGAAAGGTCAAACTGGTTCTATATAAAAATACAGAAGGGGTGGCCATGGGGCCTGGGTTTTGGTTTTCCATACATTTTCATAAATATTAGGTAAATGCATCAGTGCCACAATCAAAACCAAAAAACACTGATAAATATGCATAAAGGATAAAAAAACACATAAGAAAAAAACAAAAAGAACTAAAAACCATGGGAAAACAAACAAACTAAAAAAACAATTCTGGGAGACTCTTGGCTGGACCCCCCCAAAATTAGAAAAAACAAAAAACCAAAAAAACCTTGGGAAAACCAAAAAAAACAAAAAAACAATTCTCAGAGACTCTTGGCTGGACCCCCCAAAATCAGAAAAACCAAAAAACCAAAAAAACCTTGGGAAAACAAAAAAAACAAAAAAACCAATTCTCAGAGACTCTTGGCTGGACCCCCTTTTCCTCAAGACTTCCCCAGAATTGTTTTTTTTGTTTTTTTTTGGTTTTCCCAAGGTTTTTTGGTTTTCTGATTCTTCTGATTTTGGGGGGTCCAAGCAAGAGTCTCTCAGAATTGTTTTTGTGTTTTTTGTGTTTTCTCAAGGTTTTTTGGTTTAGCATCTGAACTTACTTCTCACCTCAAGGCATCTGTTCTTTTTGCTTACGTCTGAAACCGTCTGAGCTCAACACTTCCTTCGTCCTTGTCCAAATCTCCATATACAAGTCTGAGTGCATTAACTGCTGACTGGTATCAATGCGGTTGCCACTTGCATTTCCAAACAGCTTGACATGCAGTTGCGAGGACACTCTGTCCTTTACATGAAACGGTTGGAAATCTTTGCGAGCGTAATTCTGTGCTTATAGCTCAAGCGTTTACATCTTATTCTGGCGAACTTCTAATTTTAATTCTAATTCCTTTCTGATTCAACTCTCATCTAATTTCAATTAGGCTATAGTTATAGTTCAATACAAGTTTATTAAAATTCGGTTTTACTTCAGTTTTATCTTAGCTCTAACTCAAATCCAATTTAATTCTACCTAATTCTATTCTAGCTCTAGTCTATTTAGTTTAAGAAAACACATGCTACAAAACCCCGTGTTTTACAGTATTTTTTGCTCTGGAAGTGCTGGGAACAAGACTAAAACTCTTTTTTGAAGTAAATAGTTAGATTGATTTATTGTCAGTAATCACTGGAGGTAATATATACATATTAAACATGTTTTATGTACAAGCTTCTAATTCAAGAGCTTCCCTCTAGATCTCTGGGGATGATCAATTCTACAATAAAACTATATATAAGCTTTCCTTTCAAAAGCTTTCCTCTGGATCTCTGGAAATGGTCATGTCAATTGAAACATGCTATATATCAATAAATAAGTCTTTCTTTCAAGAGCTTTCCTTTCATGAAAACACATATAGGGATATCTATTTTCCCAGAGATCCTGAGGAAAGCTTTGAAAATGCAAGCTCTTGCCCGCAGAAATCTAGAAGAAAGCTTTTAACATACAAGGTTTCTATATGGTTGTTTAAATCTAAACATGATTATCTGCAGAGATCTATAAAGAATCTTTTATAACATAATAGAGTCTATACACAATCTTTCCAAATCTAAACATAATTATAAGCAGAGATCTAGAGGACAATTGTTAAAATAACCACTTTTATGGCCTGCTTCTTTTCTAATTATCTTGTTCCAAACCATCTGAATGACTGATTGCTGCTTCCAAACCATAATATATTTGTTCATATAGAGTGAGAGCAAGAATAGATATGTGTGTTTATATGGAGAGGGGCTGCCACTAAAGCATGTACCTAAAATTTTAGGGAAAACCAAAACCCAGGCCCCATGACCACCCGCTCTCTAAAAAAAAATATATATATATAGTTATATATACATATGCATTTACACACACATTTTGAAACTTCTGTCCACCGGCTCTGCCGCAGGTTGTCCTTGATCACCATATGTGCAGTTCTGCGTGGTAGACCCTCTGAAATTCCCACCCCATCTTCGGACTTCTTTCCCCACATTTTTCAATGCCTGGCAGTTCTGCTGCTCAGCTGTCAGGGCTTGACCTGCAAGTGCCACTATGCCGATTTGCGCATCCACCAGAAGCGACGTCACGGCGCCGCGGAAACGACCTCCATTCCTGCCTCTACGACTTGACATACTCTGGTGGTTATGTCTAAAGAATAGAAATTTACATCACCCATACTGGATGATTCGTTCTGCACAAATAACATAAAACATCATAAAACATATCTTTGGATGTGACATGATGTGACTGAATCAACATTTATTGAGCTTTACTTCAAACAAAGCTGCACGAAAGGACCTTCGTCTTGTAGCGCCGTGTGTCACAAATGGCAACGCTACGTCTGCTCATGTGAGGAGTTGAGCTCGCGCCGTGTGGAGCAACTGGGCCCACCCGACATCCAGTGAGATTGATCACCAAGCCTCGGTCATGTCGGTGAGGCTCGGATCCAAACAGTTTCCAACAGTAGATCTACCCCGCTGAACACTCACACGGACAAAACCCACTGGCTTGTAGAGGGCAGTCGGACTTAGGGTGCCATTTCGAAAGGGGTTGGACAGTTGAAACATGGTGAAACCTGCTGGACAGAGAGCTCACAGAGCTGACTTCAAGAGCTATCATGACAGTCACACTTTCGATCCTGCCGTCAAGATCGTCAAGCTGATTTGGGGGACTCGTCTTGCCCGAAGGAACCCAGGCCTTGGCAAAGAGCCAGTGCCTTCATCGCCAAGGGCAGGACCTGCAAACGAATCACAACAACCAGCTGAATTCGTTCCCGGAGCTGACCAATTTGGCTCCGCAAGCCGGCTTTCGTGATGACAAAAACGCCAACGCTATACCCATACGGCTGAGCGTGTGGCATATTTTTGGAGGATGCTGTCTGTGGATATAGACATCAAGAAGCAAGGTGACAATCCCTTGAAAACGGTTTGTTTTCCCACGTCACACTCTTGTACGGACGGCCTACCTGCGGTGCTGCTCCAGTTTGGGCCAAGTCAAGGTAGAGCCCCTGATGTCGGGCGGAGCTGGCGGAGCACGCGCATGCTCGTGGTCGTCAACAACCAGCAAATCCTTCTGTTTGATACGGACCACGACAACAGTGGCGAAGTGGCAGAAGTGTTGTTAAACTAGGCAAAGTGGCCGTTACTTAGCTGGTGGTGTGTACGAAAGGGACCACCCCTTCTTCGTGCAAATAGCAAAGCTGCAGAAGGGAATTGCACACCCCTTTAGCCCCAGCAGCTTCACCGGTGGTTCTGTTTACAACCCCGCATGCTTGGAATTGGGAAGTGTTAAGATTTTCAACTTAGGTGTGGCTCAGTAGACGTTCAGCGCCAAAAGGTCGTGTAAGTTCCCTGATCTGCCCCGTGCAGGAGGCAGCCGCCTCTGGTGAAAGCAAAGGATACCTTTATATAGTATGTATATATCTAGTTATGCAAATACCTGTACGCATAAAGTTGTTTGACCAGGCTGACCCTGCTGACCAGGCTGGCTCAGGCTCTCCAAGCCCTATCTAACCAGCAAATCTGCTAAATCAGTAGCTATGGTTGTGACCAAGGTGATCTCCTCAAGCAAAACGAACAGCTGAGTCTGCCGAGTTAGATCGGACAAATCTAACGAAGGAGATCAGTCTATGATATATATATATATATATATGTATGTATGTATGTACGTATGTGTGTATATATACACACATATATATGTATATACACAGTATATGTCTGCTCCTTTATCAGTTCTCTGCTGTGATACAACCCCTCTCCAGTTGAACTCCTGCTGGCTTGGCCAAGTCAACTTCCCCACCGGCCTCCCCACCATGGGACTTCGCCAAAGCACGCAGCAAGCAAGCGATCTCGCCTGTGGCGAAGACGAGGTCAACCGTTCACAAGCATGCGTCCAGAAAGTCCCAGATTTTCGGCCCTCTGCTAGTCTCAAACTTTGCTGCAAAAACCCAATGGTCACCCTTGGTCATGGCATGGCAATGCTCTGTACTTCATACATCATAAGAGTACAGCTATATTTGGGACATCAAGCACTTTATATATCCCAAGTATACTTGTAATCATATATCCATATATATCCCAAGTATGTCTTGTGAAGATACTTGGGATGTCTTACAAATAGGACGCTCCAGGACGGTCTCGGATGGGCATCGGACGCGAACCGCGTCCGCTTCTCGGTGACGCACCGCTGCTGATGGCATTGAAGGCCAAACTCAACTCCTGGCCGCGGTCTCCACGGAGCGCGTTTCCCGCACAGCGCGGAAGGCACGAAAGGTGAGCCACACAAAGAGCGACACGTTTTGGCCAAACTCACCGGCTTGAGCCGATGACTAATTTGGTGGTGCCAGTTCAAGCACAGGAGGGATGGACCATGTTGCTTGGATTGGCTCTTACTCGAAAGGCCCGGCTCGGACGGAGTGAGAGTGTGCATGCAGCCCGGCTCTCCTGCAAGGAACTAGGGCCAGCAAGAAAGAGCTCCTAAAGCATCCAATCGATTGGAGATGTCCCACCCAGCAATGGATGATTAAAACAGGCACACCTTCAACTCACAGCACAAACCAACACAAACCAAAACATACATACCAAATCATACCAATACCGCATTGCGTCACGAACCCTGGAGAGATGTCAAAACAAGTGTAAACGATTGGTCCATGTTTACGTCCGAACAGGAACCGTCGTGTGCTTTCTGGCTCCGCGCCAAAAACGACAAACTCCCGTGTCTCAAACTGCGCGTGTCTGCCGTTCTCTCAGCGATGGACTGCCAAAAGGGACCCGCTGGGATGGCCCAAGGCATTGTCGGCCACCGAAAGCCACCTGGAGCGACCGGTGGCTTTCGACACCCCCACATTTCCGGGGTCGGTCGCCCCAACGGCTCCATGTTGGTCGCTCCTTGTTTTTCAAAGGTTTTTGCTGTGTGACTCTACCACGGCGTAGACGTCTTGCACAAAGCCTTCCAAAGCGCAAGCTCCTTGCTGCACGAACCGGACGTCCGCCGCTTCCGCTCCTTTTTTCTCAACGCTGCACATGTACCAGCTAGGTCCAGCAAAGTTTCCTGGCGACATGCACTTTTCATGGTCTGCTGGTGGGTACTGGCACAAAGCAAAACAAAACAACCATCGTCACCCTCACAAATGCACCTGTCTTCAATCCAATTGAGCTGTGTCGAAAACCTATTGGAAATGGCTTTGTAATCCTAGCATCCTTTCGCGACAGGCTATCGCGGTCCTTTCGCGACCACAGTCTTACCTTTCGCGGGCATACACTATTTGATACTGTTTGCATGGATGTTGATTTTCCGGGGGTGGGGTCTAGGGAGCCATTTTATAGCTATAAAATGGTGTGCATTGACCTGGGCACCAGGAGTCTGGCTATAAAATGAGGAGGAGTGACCTCACAGAGAATTTCATAAATTGAGGGGGGCTGACCTCGAAGCACATCTCCAACATACATGAGTAGCACTATAAAATGGCAAGGCGTCCCTGCATAGAAAGAGCATAGGACATCAAAAATTACTTCCAGAAACTCCAAACCATCTCAATGCCATTTGTGGCACAGGGATACATGAAAGGAGGTTTTACCACCTGAAATTTGCTTATACTTTTACCCTTTAGATGTCTCTACATCTCTCCATGCGCTACTTTTGTTTGCAGGTGGTTGTTGTTGGCCTTGTACATTCCAGGCAAGTTGCCCTCCAGATCTTCCTAGGGTTCACTGTGACATGACCTTAAATGACCCAAGAGACAGAAACCACCATATTATAAAATGGCAGGGCTTGACCTTCCCAGGGTCCATAAGGGTCCAAGAGACTTTGCAAGTCCTTGCAGCACAGCTTCTGCCAACAGCTTTATGGACCCTGGCAAGGTCACGCCTTGCCATTTTATACTATGGTGGTGTCTGGCCAAGCCCAAGCAGGCTAGAAGGTTGACACTGATGCTGAAGTTTGCGAAAATTTTACGATTCCCTACATAGACCTAGGCCATTCTAAATCTCTCCAACCACTGCACTGCTTGTGTTTCCGGCTGCTTGTCGTTGCCCTTGTGCCCTTGTGCTTGTTGCCTACTAGACCTGCCGGGAATATACCCAAATGACCCATAAGGGTCCAAGAGACTTCGCAAGTCCTTGCAGCACAGCTTCTGCCAACAGCTTTATGGACCCTGGGAAGGTCAAGCCTTGCCATTTTATAGTATGGTGGTTTCTGGCCAAGCCCAAGCAGGCTAGAAGTTTGGCACTGATGCTGAAGTTTGCTAAAAAATTACTATTCGCTACATAGATCTAGATCATTGTTTCCAGCTGCTTGTTGTTGCCAAATGGCTCCTGTTTTCTGGTTCATGAAAATTCCTCTAATTTTTTTGGGTCTCCAACCTGGATTCAAACAAACATCTATACATCTCTGAACAGCACTGCTCACATACATCTTGATTCCACAGCCCCAAATCAATCACCATCCTGGAAACAGTCTGTCTTTCTATGAAATGGCGGGGTGCAAACATCACTCACCATCCTGGAAACAGTCTGTTTTCTATGAAATGAGGGGGGTCTAGCCCCCAAAAGTTAATACATAAAACGTCTAATCCTGGGGGATGACCCCCCCATTTCATAGGGGATATATCAATGTACATCTGTTTGCTCAGTCCTTTCGCAGGACCTTTCGCGAGAGAAGTTGGACACCACACATATAACTTTACTTCGAGTGATCCCCACCATGACATTTCAATGTTGTGTGATTGTGTGTTTTGCGTTGAGCTCCGGTAGTGCCCACTGCGATCTGGCACTTGCGGTTGAGGTCCGGTAGCGCCCACTGCGATCAGGCACTTGCAGGAGGGGAAGGAGGGGAAAAGGAGGAGATCCTTCTGAGAAGAGCTCTGATAAAATCCAACAACCCTCACCTCGCAGGTGGGGAACAACATGCGTATACCTCTACATATATCTAGATAATAAATCTATATTGCCTCCTTCTAGCAAATTTTCCTCTTCACGTGGCAAGTAGAAAATACAAATCGATGGGCTACATCCTGAACATGGAACCGTCACCTTTCTCGAGCCTTTCGCGAACCTTTCGCGGATTTTCGACCTTCGACTTCGAGAAGCCCGTGGTCAAAACACGGTTTCTTGGTTTCTGTTTATTGTATTTTATTGTGAGAATTCCTTGACTGCTATCTGACTTGCCCACCTTTGGCACTGGTGCAATACAGAAAAAACCGTTCAGTTTGGGGCTAGAAACGTCCTTGTAATATATATTTACGCAAAGCTCTCATGGTGACAATGGCGAAGTTGCGTCAAAGCAGCGTTATAAAAAAACAGCTAGCACTGGACTTTCGCACACTCCTTTCGCAACCATTTTTTCATGGTGTCTTTTGCACCAGCTTTCTCGAAGCTTTCGCGACTTAGGTTTTGCCTTTCGCGGGGGTTATGTCAGGACACTGCATTACAAAAACTCTTCATGGAGGTTTTTGACGTGGCTCAATTAGGGTCGTGTTTTCTAGACAGTTGCCTTTCACTATAAACGTTGTCCCTGCATCAGAAGAAGGGAATTGACATGGAACAACCACATCGTCAGCGGATGATTCACAGTGAAGACGGTCGTCTTCCAAGCGCACTTTCGCCTCCCTGGACCCCACAACGCCCGCCAAGCGAAAAGAAGTTTTCCTTGCCTCTCCGAAGTCAGGTTCCAAGGCAGGTTCTTCTCATTCACTGGTGGGCGTCCTCAGCGGTGTCTGTGACAATCGTGAGTTACAGCTTAGCTACAGTGAGTTAGAGCTGTCTTGGTCTTATGCCAAGAGCTTGCCGAGCGTCTTGAAATGCCTTAAGAGGTTCTCACGCGGCTCCTTTTGCAGCACCACCTCAATTGCCAGACGGGCTCGGTCACCCAAAACGCTCCTTTTTCATGGCAGGTGGAGACGTCCTGATCCTCCCATCGTCCCAACCACCACGGTGACCGTTGGCTGATGCGTTTGCTTCCGCACGATGGGGTCGCTCCCGATGCCCCCTGTTTCAACCCCGAGCCGTCGCTTGCGCCCGCCGGTCGCGGGACGTGGTGAGCGACACATCGGTCGTTCCAAACGGACGTGTCGTCCGCCGTGCCTGTGGTCGTTGTCGTCCAGGTGCTGGAATGACCACCGCGCGCTTCACACTCTTCACGCGGCGTGGCTTCTTGGGCAGTTCCTGAAGGAAATGAACAGCGGCAAACAATGAGGAAACATGTTTACCTCAGGTTCCTGGAAGTGGCAACCAACTCTGACTATGTGATGTTCAAGCCCATCTAGGCGGGGGGGCTTGGCGTGGCTCCAGACAAAGGCTTTCCATGAGCACTTGACACAGTTCAACAAAAACATATTAAACTTTTGATAAACGGCTTATCTTTTCAGCAGCTGTTTGCATGTGTTGCATGTAGTTCCGCTTTTTCAGAGCTGCTTAGCAAAACAACACAACTACCTTTTACCTGGCTGTCGTCCGCAGTGCTGGGCCAAGGTCGTGCAAGCTGGTTTGGGCAACGTTCAGCGTTTTTGATGAGAACATCTCTGTGTTTCACAGGCAGAAGCTGCTCGGGTACCGGTGGGGATTCATGATCCTCTTTGAAGGCTACAAGGTGGTAGGGGTCGCTGGGCCAAACAGCCCTGGAACTGACGCGTGGAAAAAGATCGGCAGCAACCCATATGTTTGCTGCTCGATTGAAGGACACCCGCGGGTAAAACGGAGGATCTGAAGGTCTGGTGGTTTGGGAGTCTGGGACGCTAAACGAGTTTTTTCTTAATTAGAGTTGAGGATGTATTCATTCAAAAGTTTGGATGTCCCGTATCGTTATGCAAGGATCTACTAAATATGATTAGGAGTATCGTCCTTTTGGACATCTTTGGACGTCTTGTATCGTCTTCCAAGGACAACTCAAATCACAGTCTTGAATGAAACACCCGACAGTATAAAGTAAATGACGGTCGTCTTGAAAACGACTCATATGTCTGTGTGGGTGCATCTATGAACTCACCGTTTAACGATGCCTCAAACGTAAGCAGCAGGCAGCAAGGTTCACATCCGTCAAGATCAGCTTCAAGCACTGGCTTTCCTGAGCTGCCCTCAACAGGACTTCCCATCACAAAGACTTCGCAGAACTTGACGGAAGCCGGACACCAATGGCTCTGCATCAGGAGTATCAAGTACTGCGTAGATCCGCAGTACTTAGCACCATGTCCATGAAGAACGAGGCAGCGATGGAAACGACAAACACGAAGAATTGACTGCAACTGCAGCATTGCAGGCGCAAGGCCAGACTAAAATTTAAAAAGAAGCAAGGACACGCAAACTTCTGCCACAGCATACAGAAGCTAATCAATAAGGAACTGAGGCTTTGGAATCCAGAAATGCCGAGATCAGCAATACAGGTCTGCAGGCCTTGTCGAACAATACTCAAATGAGCGTACTCAAAACAAGACTCAGCAGCGCAGCTAGCAAGCTCAGCAAGTCAGGAACTTAACAAAGCTGCTTCGCAGCAGCTCACCATCAGCTGCAGCACATCACTTACGCCCACATGCTTGATTAACTGAAAAGCTACCAGTCACCAAACCAAGGTGTGAGCAGCAGCGACTGAACAAATTCCTCCGGCGAAGCTTCAGCATCTCCTCTTCCACCAGCGCCGCCTTTAACGGATCCACTCGGAGCCCTTCCACCACTGAGCCCTGTAGATCCGTCGGTCGGTCGACTGACGTGAAATGACGGCGGTGCATCTTGGGATCCCAGACGAACGCCCCAAAATGGGCCATTCAAAAGCAAGGCTTCCATCGCCACGAAGCCTTGAAACGGTGCTGCCACGGAAGGCCACATGAGATGACCATGCAGCCTTGCGGCAGCCGCTGCGGCGCCACGAGCTCCTTCCAAAAGCCAACGGCTGGACCGGTCAGGCCGGGTTTGTCGGTCGCGCCCGGATCCGTGTCCCGTACCTCCGCCCGAGGTCGGGAAGCGACGCCGCTCCAAGCGTCCATCTTCTGCTCCGCATCGGCCATCTCTCGAAATCGGCCCGTGGTCTTCACCTGGAGCGATCGAGTGTGACGCCATGTATCGCCAGGTGTAGAATGGCGGCAATATTGACTGGGCATTATTATCATTATTGAATATTGCAATGGGTAATGTCGATCCACTTTGGTGAATTGGCAATATTGAATTCCCAGTTCTTGTTCCAAAATGGGTCCTCTTTCAACGCGTTCCAACCACGTGGCCTCATGTGGCGACCAGTAGAAACACGGAGAGTCTGACGCGACCATGTTCACGCTCCATGACCGACCCCAAAAGTACAACGAAGGAGTTGAGTTTGCTCATCTGATGGGTTTGTTGGGTTGGACTTATGACTCGACTCACCTAGCTGTCGGGGTTGGGGAACTTCCGTGGTCGCTCCGAACCGCTCCCTGTTTAATGGGGAATATGGATATCCGCTCGGGTCACCCCCCGCCTCATAGACCGTGTGACCTAGGCTGGTCCAGTTCCACTATCTTCCACTATCTTTATGGCACCAGAAATTCCTGGACTCACCGCACGAGTAAATGCCATTTGGTTCAAGTCGTCAAGTCGACTCCGATCGTCTTGGACCCCCCATGGGCTCAGGGGCGAAATGGAATGAATGACTTGAGGGAATTTCCACCATCGCCGACACCTTGTGCTCCGGCGCTTTGGAGGCGGCGTCTGCTTGCTCACGCTCAAACTTGGCCTTGACCGCGCGGTTTTGGGTGGTCCCCCAAAATGCGGGAACTACACTCCCTGGAACTAACATGGAAGTGGAGAATGGCCCCGAAAGGAAGACCATTTTCCACTAAGGGAGAGTAGGAGGGCGGCATGAATGTTTGGTCCTTTTCAAAGGAAGGTGGCACCTCCGCACAGCTGGACCATTCCTGTTCCATGCGATCGAATTGCTGATCTACTGCTCACGTTTTTAGTGTGGCATAGCCGTTTGCGGCCTCATATCTTGGTAGAGTCTGAATAGAACAAGGCTCAAACTCAAACATCATTACGGATCATTACAGTTAATATGTCATCCAAAACGCAACTTCCAACTTAGTGCAAGGACGTTTAAATATCTTCAAACTCCCCCATGATGCATGGTTGGTAGTTGGTGCAAGTCCCTTGCAATCAACCAGAACATGATGTGGCCAATTCAATTGCTGTATGCCACTTTCTTCGCCCACCACTCATCCCAAATAGCACCTAAACAACAAAACAGTTTGGACCTTCTGCAGGGAAGCATTGAGAGCATGCATCTTGACCTTTGGCAAGCCACCAGCCACATTTTCAATTCGCGTGGCGTAAACATATTTACTCATGAATAGGCGTATTCTTCCTCTCTTGAAGCATGACACTTACAACTTACAACATACTGAACGTTTTTGAAAGAACGTTGGTACGGCCGCCATGGTCCTTGGATGGTCCTTCCACCTTTTACCCCCTTCACTGCACAAAATGCATCGAAACATTTTTTAAAATAAAAGCCTAAAAGCATCCTACAGCACCTCTGGAGACTGGTCAAAACATGTCAAAACAATGGCTCGACATCTGTGACCACTGATCCATGAAATGATGAAATGTTCGTGAACTTTGCGGTAAACACCAGTGAGATTCTGCCAAGGAACCATCGGCAAAGCATCCGTGTTCACGCCCCTCAAGTGTGAAGTCAAATACCATGGCTGCAAATGTGGGCCAGCAAGGTGTCCTCTCGGGCCAGGGGGGACGCGACTTTTTCGTTGCGGCGCTCCGGCTCCAAACTTCAAACAAATGCCCCCGGCATTCGAGTGTTCACATGATGCTTGATGAATGACACATGGACACACTCGAGGAAACGCACAAGGGAGATGCACGCCTTTGGGATTCAACGTTGGTGAAGCTGTTCAATGGGGATCCTAGTCCAGTGACCCTGGGAACTCCAAGCAACTGGTGGTTTCGTGTCATGGGCCATCAAGCCATCGGTTCAAAGCACTGAAGCGATGAAGGGATCTAAGGTGTTTATTGACTTGGTTCAGGGGAGCTTGCCTTACCTGCAGCCCGCTGGCTCTCCTCGTTCGCAGCGCTTGTTCCCTCGCCCTGGCGCAGCTGAACAAAAGCGTAGACCAATTTGAACCAATCATGTCCTACACTTGCAAAAGAAAGGTAGGCCTCCAACAGCCCATTTCCCCTTTCCATCGGCGTTTTCCACTTTCATGTTCACCTCCGTCCAAGCTTCCTGTAGTTTCGACCTTCCCTTAACTAGATCCAAAATAGAACAAAAGCTTTTGAAGCCAAGAGTTGGGACACGTCGCACCAAAGTCCGTCACCCTCCCTACGGATCCACAATGAACATTCACCCAACGGCCCCCACGTAGGTCACGCGGGTTTGCAAATCTGAAGCTCGGAAGACACATCACTGCGGTTCTTGGAAGCTCGCATGTCTCCTAAGGCGGTTCCTTCTTGGACAGCATATACTGCAGCACTTCATCCGTGTCTCATTCATTCAAGGGCCTGGATAAAGGTCCTCTTTCTCCATGTCAGAGAGGCTCCGGTGCTTCACGGGGCCCACTCTCTTTCCTGAAGACCTGACCAGTCAGAAGTTGGTCTTCACATTTTTATCGCATGGTTTCCACGCATGGAAACCAATTGTCCTAATTGAATCTAATTGATCGTATTTGTTGATCATCATTGAACACCTAGAAAACCATTAGCAAACACGGAAGCGAGCTTTGCGCTACCCTACTGTACCCAAATTTCTTCTCTACAACTGGGTCCGAGTGACGCCCTCTTAGCTCAAACTGCAAGTCATGGTTTGATACATGTTCATACGTTGGCTCACTGATATTTGAGCGAAGAGTTTGACGTGGATTAGTCTGACTGGCAGTCACAACACAGAATTGGCCGGAGACATCCGGCCTCATCCGCTCGAAGATGCTCAGCTCACCGAAGCAACCTTGGATCTCCCAAAGGCTGAAGGTTTTTTTGGCTGACCCCCCCCACCCACAGGGTGTTTTTCTTGTTCTCGTTTGATGTTGCTTTTCGTTCCCCTGCCGGTGTTCCCCACCCTCGCTGCAGGTGTCGCCACTTCCAGTCCAGGAGGCGTCTGGGCAGCCATGGTAACAGTCTAGCCACCTGTGAGCGGACCAGCGCCACCATTCGCGGACCAATCAGCCCAGGCAGCAAGAGGCCCTTGCGGAGCAAAAAGCCATGGCGTTGATCAATAAAAATATAGAAAGAACTGGCTGCCACTGGCTTGCTTCAAGTGCAGTGATGGCCAGTGACTGCAGGATTGCAGTGCTTGCTCAAGGTTCCATCTCTCTATATCTCTCTGTTGCTTGGTCGCAAAGTTTCCGTGCTTTTGGCCTTCTCTGCGCCTCAAATTGATATACTAGTTACTAGTAGCTAAAAGCTACTAAGTAGCAGGGGCATGGCTATTAGTAACAAGTGCATCGCTATTAGTAGCTATATAGAAGCAACTACTAACAAGGGCATCGCATTTGACTTTTCAAGCCTCCTTTGTTGCGCGTCTCTGAGCCCTCCCGTTTGACCACACCATCCGAACGGGTCCAGTTCGTGCGGCATGGGTCCAGTGGCCGGATAGGCAGAAGCCCGGAACAAGCGTTGGGCCGGCCAAAAGGGCTTATAGAATCTTTTGTCACTTATAGACTTATAGACTACATATCTGCAGATTGCCTGAGGAAATTGGCCCATCATTATCTGCCCAAGACTTTTCTGCATAGCATCAGCCTGGAGGATTGAACGTCGAAGGGGATCTGGTGCCTTCTCTCGCACCAAACCGTGCAACTCCGAGCCAGTTAAGGTGCAACTGGCATGTGGCCAAATGATTGACCAAGCAAAGGAGACTTAGAGGATCTGCAATCTTCGCAGGTTTTATGCTCCTTAATGGCATCCAACATCAAGTTGCCCTGTTTCTTCTTGGGGCGCAATCCTTGAACATGCAGCCAAACCTTTGAGGCCCCTGCATTCCGCTTGATGGATGCCTCCTGCGCAATGAGCCGATGGCTGAAGCCTGGAAGTTGGAAGCTCATCTGCTTCATGACTTTCGGTTTGATTTGAGGGTCCTGTGATGCCTTCTCTGCGAACTTCTCCACGCGCGAGCGCACTTTCTCCCAGTCAGCAGGCTCCACCAACTTCCGTAGACTGGGCATTCCAGATTGCAAGGCTGAAGCAAGGTCAGCAGGTTCCTGATCTCGCACAAACCGTAGGTGCGCCTCTTGCACATCCTGAAGCTCCGTATTGACATCCACAAGAAATGTCATTTCTTTGAGTTCCGGGCAGCTACTAGCACAAAAGCCTCTACAAGAGCAGCTCCCTGATGCCAGGGACACCGCATCCTGCTGAGTCGGAATGGCATGCAAAAGCTGGTCGGGTACCACTCCTTCTTGAGCTTCGGGTTGTGGTCGGGATTCAGGATCCTCTTTGAAGGCCAACAGGTGGTAGGGGTCGCTGGAACCAAACAACCCTGGAACCGGCACGTGGAAAATATCGGCGGCAACTCGTATGTTTGCCGCTCCATTGAACGAAAACCCGCGAGCAAAATGGAGGAGCTGAAGCTTGGGAGTCTGGGACACCAAACGAAGCCTGCGTGGATGCATCTATGAACTCACCAAAACGATGCCTCTCATCTTCAGCAAGCAACTGCACAAACGACCGCCCAGCAAGGTTCACATCCGTCAAGATCAAGTGCTTCAAGCACTTGCTTTCCTGAGCTACCCTCATGTGGCTGTCCAGCAGGACTTCTCCATCACAAAGACCTCGCAAAACTCGACGGAAGCTGGACACCAATGACTCTGCATCAGTGTCAAGTACTGCGTAGTGTCAAGTACCTCGAAGCACCACGTCCACGACGAGTGAGGAGGCAATGCAAACGAGGCCGACAGACACAGTCGAGTGTTCGAAGATACGTAAACAAGCCCAGGTCTCTGCTGCAGTGTACAGGAGTTGACAGGGAACAGAGATCCATGGATCCAAGAAGGCCAAAACCAGCAAAAGCCGGACGGACGTCTGCAGTCCTTGCATCACCACATACCGTGGCTGTGCTGATCATCGAAAGCAGCAACATGCCATGTAGCAAGCAAGCAAGTCCTTTCAGCTGCTGAGCAGTAGGCCTCAAAATGTCCACACGCACCATCATGTGCTGCGCGTATCCAAGGACACAACAGCTGAGGAAGGTAACATTCTGTAGGTCTGGTGCTATGACCACTTGATGAAATAAACAGCTGCCGGTCACCAAACCAAGGTGTGAGCAGCAGCGACTGAACAACTTGTAGTTCTTCTGGCGAACCTTCAGCATCTCCTCTTCCACCCGTGCAGCCTTTAATGGATCCACTCGGACCCTTTCCACCACTGAGCAGATCAACCCTTGTAGATCCGCCACGTCGGTCTTAGTCAGATGCAGGTGCAAAGGAGCCCAAACTAACACCAGGGTGGCAACCATGAGCAAAGCGTCCATGGCTTTGAGCTGAGAGATGTACTTGTAATCTTGATATCTTAAGATATCTGAAGTATATTGCAATAAGGATAGTTTCCCAAGTTCCAGACTATTACACCTTCTACAGTGCAACTTTGCTTCACTCCAAACAACGCTTGAGAACCGGCACAAATGACACAGCTTCAATGCCACAAAGGATCCAATGTATCTTTCCTCTCCGTGAATGCTCATCTACACCACTTCCTCAGCCACCCACCCCACCTAATTACACTCCAAACACATCCCACATCCCGCAAAACGGTCCAAATCCGTTCGCGCCTCAAGGCACTTTTCTTCTGCTTCAAGACCTTGCAAAGAACCTGTGGGATTGCCCAGAGTTTGTGGCAACTTGTTGCTTGCGAGAACCTCCGCGATGTCCATTGTTCAAAGAAAACCCTCAAACGGAACGGGGCAAAAGGTTCCTTTACACCATATGTCAGGCCTCTATATGTGTACATATGTGGGTGTGTGTGTATATATATAATATATCAGACACACACGTGTAATTATATATATGGTTATATATATAGATGTGTGTATGTACGCATGTGCTACACTAGTCCGAATGCATGTTGTCATCTCCTGTGAAGGTGCAAGGCAGGAGACAGGCATGACCCCACTTCCACGCATCCTTAAGCTAATGACTCCGAACTGCACAAAGGGTCCAGCAAGCTTTTTAGGGCCCACGGAGCAAGGGCATGATCCTGTGATCATCACTTGCCATCCCTCTAGGCCCTGATACTGATGGGAATTTCAGGGCCCTGCAAGGTATCATCATTTGCCATCTGGGTGGCCAGCAATGGCCAGCACGCTTGCTTCGCAAAAACGGAGCCGCTGTTTGGCCACCTCAAAGCCTTCGACTTGGAGCCGGTTGCCATCCAGCAGAAGGGCCTCCCGATGGAGCCCAATTCAAAGGATTGGCCGATCTGAGTATGGAGTCCTGAGAAAACCTCACGGGACTCAAAAAGAGACTCCATGCAGTTGAAATTGCCCAAACCTCTTGGTGAAACGCTGTGAAATCCCGTTCATCTTCACAGGGAGAAGCTGGGCCTGTCTTCGGATCAGACTCGGACAACGCACCATCCCATCTTCTACAATCCTCCACAAACCTACATGTAGCCTACATGCCTTCGTCTGTTTTCGACAAAAAAACGCCACGTGGACCGGCCCAGATCGCAGATCGCCTGAAGACCGCCTGAGATCACCTATGATCGGAGCAGCTGAGCTGAGCTGCGTGCAGTGCACGGAGTGAAGCGAAGCAGGTGTGCGGTTGGTGGACAAAGGCGACTCTCAATAGGCGCCGTTTTCGGTCTTTTTCCCTTAGTGAGACTGGTGGAAAAGACATGAAAAGACTCTTATATAGACTTTTAGATCTTAGAGGTCCCAACTGGGGTCACACAAAGTTTCTGAGTGAGAAGGGGACGATGGGATGTTGATCTGATGTGGATGCCGTGAGGAAAAAACAAATTGAGTGGACACGAGTTGAGAGTTTGACCATTCAAACGAGGTCTGATTTGGAGCTTCGGCCATGCGTGCTTGTTGTTTTGATATGTTTTCATGATAGCTGGACTTGAGCAAGCCAGCTTCGGGGTTTCTGTAGTTCAATTCGCAGGCGGGTTCATCTTGCGGACCACCTGTAGATTCTGAACCTGTCCACATCACTTTTCGGAGTGACTGAGGGGATCTCCCTTGGGGTGACACAGAACGGACCGCGCACAGAGACGAGTCACTGCCGTCCGAGCCCCGCCCAGTGTTTCGGCCAACAGACCGTGGTCGTTGAGTCTCCCAACGGTGGCGAGTGCTGGGCAGCTTGCAGACGTCAAGGTGTTGTACCTGATCTTTTGGAAGGAACATGAAGGAACGACAGCATCAACAATTGATAAAGGAAGAAAAACAAAAGCACACCGACACATTTTCCCTGAACTCCAGAATCCCCTACGTTTCAAGCGCGGGCAATCCGACCCTGTGTGGGCAACTGCAAGCTCAGCGTGACAGCCCTGGCCCCTCCACCGCGCTCAATCCCAATCCCCTGCGACTTTCCGGAAGCCCCTGGTTGGTGTGGTGCCAGGGTTTTGGATGATGCTGTCATGATCCAGTTGAAGGGTAGTTCAAAAGTCTAAGAGTCTTAGGATGTCTGAATCATCCTACAGTTGCTGGACGGACAGACTCAGCTTCCATGATTTGACCAACATCGACTGACTCGCCTCAGATCCAAGAGCCTGATGGCACTCCATTTAGAGCTGTTGCCACTATGCCCCAACTGGGAGAGCCAGTTGTCCTGCAAAGCCATGAGTTCATCTTCCAACATGAAGCCCATCCAAATCGCATCGCAGTCCGTCAGACCGCATCGCAGTAGTCGTAGACCTTGAACATGTCGCCTGGGAGGCAATCTCTTAGTCAGCTATGCAGCTATGATCAGCTGAGATCAGGAGTTCTCCTGGGAACACAAGATCCATCTGATTTTTGAAACATATTTTGCATCAAAATGGACATCCAATCTTATTTCCATCTTATTGCTGATCTCAATCCATTTCCATTACAGTATTTCCATTTTTGCCCATGATTGAGATGAGTTTTCATGAGTTTCTCCTGTCCTCCGCACCGACGGAAAAGAAAAACCGCCATACCGCACGCCCGGGTTCCCATCGGCTCCCCGGCAACTCCCGCAAGACAGCGCACACCTGTGATCGCTTCGGCGGTTTTTGAGGTCGTCATAGTGGACGTATACCCAAAGGGGCTTTGTCCTCCACAATGAAAGTAAGGGAAACCAAGAAGAAACTCCACAAACAATGGGAACACTGGATGACCTGGACAGCTCTACGGCTTGGGGAGATGCTCGAGCCATTGGAGCTCAAGCTAGGGCCCTCCAGAAGCAACCGAAGGCCGAACAAGTTTGATCAGCCCGCGGACTGTCTGGCCTTCGGAAAAACCACTCAGGCGTGGATGAGAAATGCCAACATCATCTGTGTCAAAGAATCCAAATGAGCCCGCAAACTACGAAGGCTACCCTTGCTGCCTGCAAATCCACATGTGACTGCCGTTCGAAGAGGATGCCAAAGTTCTCCTGCAGCTCTCTGCAAGGTAGCATGCTTCTGGCAAGAGGCTATTTTCTCAAACATTTTCACACTTTCACATCACAAAATTACATGGGGTTGACCACTGTGGATGACCTTCCCGCACGCTTCACGTAGGACCAGTTCCCAACGCAGCTTGGGGTTCACAGGGTTGAGATGCCAGTTCCAGTTTTATGGTGGATAACCAGTTCCAGTTTCATGGTGGTTATCCGATCACTTCTTTGAGCCTCGTTTGTTCATGCTAAAATCTGCGATGTTCGTCAAATCAACTCTCAACAGATCTTCCAGGGTGATTTGACCTGGAAAGACAGTGACAGCAATTGGGTGCCAAACGGCCGGGTCCTTCCGGGCCACTCGCGGCGGTGGCAGCCTGCTTGCCGCGGGAGTGGTGAGAGGAGCCCGTGACGTCGGTCCCACATGGTCCGATGCCACCTTCCTTTGTGACACGACTACGGTCATCGCAATTGGCAATTAGGGCCAGGGTATGAACATGGTATGTAAGTATCTGCGGCCATTTCGGGGACATAGCAGGCTCGAGACCGCATTGACACATCTGTGGAGGGCCATGTGCTTTGAAAGCTCAAAAGTTCCCCAAAAATTCCAAAAGAATGTACATCCCCTCCGAGCAACCTCAGACGTGGACGAGCCCTATTTGTAGACCATGCAGGGAATCCACACCCACGATTGGAGCGAGGACCATGTACACTCAGACGAACACATCACATGGTTACGTGGATGGCATGGCCCGGAAAGGATGACTATTCTCCGAATACCAAACCAGTGGTTTATCACTGGGTAGGTCATTCCATCCCCCCACTTGCTAAGAGTAACTCCAGCTATCTGACGCTAGACTCGTGACAAGTGGTTTTGCACTTCGGAACGTGAGTCAAGAGGCATGGCCCGTTCGATGACTCCCTTCACTCGACCGGTCCGACCCGTCCGAGCGCCCGGCCCGTCCCGTGCTGAGCGACCCAACTTGGCTTTGGCGGTTTGTGATCGACTGCTAGGGACAGGGTCACCTGGAGAATTCCAGCATTCAGGATGAAGCAAGAAACTCAACTACAGTAAAGCTGAACTCCTCAAAGACCAGTGAAACAGCTTCCGCATACTTCTTCACGAGCAACTGAGCTGAACGGGAAAACTGATTGGAACATATTGGAACTGTGCTTCCTTTGGGTGATTGCGGAACTGCGCGATCAGCGAGGTTTTTCCTCAGGGGGTCGTGCAGCACGACCCTCTTCAACCGAAACTCGGACGAAGACGCTGACACCCTGACACGACACTAATGGGACTGGCATGTTTATAACATACATTAAGGGGGTTGAAAAGGGGGTCAACGTAGAGAGTAGCTCGGATGCAGTACCGGTTGGAACATGAGTCAAAAGGCATGTATTATCAGGTATGGGAAATCCTGCTCTTTCACTGACCCGGCAAAGAATTCACGAAAGATCTGAGGGCACAGAGTGTGGAACATCGTGTTTTTCTCATGAGAACGAGTGCCGAAAAAAGACTTGAGGCCAAGGGGGGGGGGCGAAAGCTAGCGCTCCAGAATGGGAAAGTGGAGGCCAGCGAGGTAGGAAAAAACACGGCGCTCTTTTTGGAGGCAGGGGTGAAGAGTCCTTTATATGTGGCTCTTTGCCCGGATCCTCCTGCGAGAGAAGAGAGAGAAGAGAGACGGAAAGACGAGAGACAGAGAGGAGAGAGAGAGAGAGAGAGGAGAGAGAGATGAGAGAGATGAGAAAGAGATGAGAGAGATGAGAGAGATGAGAGAGATGAGAGAGAGAGAGAGACAG